TATAATATATCATTAATTATTATATCTTGCATTTTTAAATGTACGAGGTAAATATTTATTACACCATGTGATCTATTTTTACTGGATGTAGTTTACGAGTTATTACATAAGAACTTATATGATTTACTATATGTACTGTAACAAAAACAAAAACAAAAATCAAAACAAAAACAAAAAGAATTCAACTTTTTTCATAGTAAATATTTATATGCATTTCCCTTTTTTTTTTTTATGTTAATTCATTTCATATAACATCATTATGTTAGATCAACCATTCATTATAGAATAGAATATATCTTGTTACTATTTAACAACATTGTACGGTCCAAAAACAAGCGGCATTTTTATTAAAGAAAAGATATAATAACTCACTACTGAACATTAAGACTCTTTATTTCTACCCACCTAAAAGGGATTAAAATTCTCGAATACTAAAAAAGTTTTTTTTGATACGTCATTTACAAAATCTTTCATTATTATTATCGGTCATATATCAAAAATAGTCACTAACACATACCACTTCTTCTATTGGTAAAAAAGAATGGTCGCCTGCACGTAGGGGTGGGCGTAATTCAGATTATCCGATCTAACACCCGAAACTCAAACCGAATTTTAAATTTTGGACGAACCCAAATAGTTATCGGTTCAGATATTTTAAATTTTGGTATATCCGAATATAAATTTGGTTCGGATATTGGGTGTTAAAAATTCTATCCACACCCGACCCGAAACCCGAACTAACCGAATTTTATTATAAATATAATAATACAATATATATATATATATATATATATATATATATATATATATATATAGTTTTAAATGTATTTCATAATTAATAATATATTAATTTTTAAAGTTCTATTGGTAAATTATTAGTATTTCTCTTATTTTTAGCTTGATATATACTATATGAAAAATATAAATAATAAAATCATAAAATCATAAAAAAATTCAAAATTGATAAAATAATATTTTGGGTATATCCAAACTAACCCGAAATAATTTCACCGAACATATCCGAATTAAATTTGGTTCGGATATCGGGTGTCAAAAACATCACCCGAAATTTTCGAATATCTGAAATAAAATTCGAGTATCACGCGAACCGAACTGGCGCCCACCCCTACCTGCACGTGGGAGGAGAAACCAAGATTCAAACTTCAGCGGCAGCAGTGTGGAGATTATGTCTAAAGTGGGTAGATTCTTTTATCTATCTGATCGAGCACCGTGATTTATATATTCTCAAATGCTCTATTAAGATGTGGGGAGGCAAGCTTGGTCAATTGAATCTTCTTTAACACGATCTCTTAATTTCCAACCACAGATACCTAAAATTGGGACAAAAAATTACCCCTAAAATACACCTTAAACCATACCACAAACCCTTCATATACTACAAGGTATTCTAGAAGCAGTAGTAGTAAAACCACAAGTATATATATATATATACATCAAATCAGCTGAGGTGAAGTGGAGTGTGGACCAAATATATACTAGCCCCCCTTCCCCCCACCCCCCTCCCACACACACCCTCACCCCCAATACCCAACCAAGGGAATCAACGATGGCTACATAAACATATTATAAATATATATTCATGAAACCAAAAAACTTTAATTTTCCCACAATATCTAGATTCTGTAGCTATATCAACTTAACCAAAAAAGTCTATATATAATATGTATATCTATCATGCATATCTTTTTCATCCCACTTCCAGAGTATATTTCCCTTGTTTTATCTATTCCTTCACATACACCTATAAATACCCATCAAACCCTCCTCCACTTCCCACAGCAACACAAAACACAATATTCATTCCCACTTCCCCTCACATCCATCTTCACAACACAAAACATACATTGAGTATAATTAAGATGTCGGGTGTTTGGATGTTCAACAACGGCGTTTTCCGGCTGGTGGAGAACCCGGCGGCAGAGCAGAGCGGCGGAAAGCCAAGAAAGGCGCTGGTGTACTTGCCGACGGGGCAGGCGGTGGGGTCGTACCGGGCGCTGGAGGAGATTTTGACGGCGTTAGGGTGGGAGAGGTATTACCATGGCGACCCAGACCTCTTTCAGTTCCACAGGGAATCTTCCATTGACCTTATCTCCCTCCCCAGAGACTTCAAGAAGTTTAACTCCGTTTACATGTACGACATCGTCGTTAAAAACCCTAACATCTTCCATGTCCGTGACATTTAATTTCCGATATATATATACATATAAGCTAAGCTATATATATATACATACATAAATGAATTTGTGTGCATGTGTTTTGAGGTTTTGTTGGGCAATGGAGTTTGGTTGTTGGTAGTTTTTGGTAGGGTTTGATTTGTGTATGTAACGCAATTCATGTACAGTGTCCGGAGTCTTATGTAATAAACTTATTGTTACATTTGGAAATTACCCTTTTTCTTAATTTATTTTTAATTATAAAGAAACCCGTAACCAGTATCCAAACGTGTATTGCACTTGTTACCCCTGCGAAATGGATTCAACGACTTGAAGATGTATGTGCATTGGGTAAACTCCATTCCACACAAGAGGAGTAAATGGTACTAGAAAGGCTAAGTGCGATGGACTCGATTAAAAAGGTGTTGACAATGTCATATGCCAAGAAAAAGAAAAGAAAAAAAATCATTTTAGGTGTTAATTATTCATTGGAGGACAACTCCTTAATTTATTCAATTTTTATATTATAAGTAAATGACGTTTTACAAGTTGATTGACTGATATCTTCCTTTAACAAAGTTTCAACGACAATAGATGATTGGAAGTTAAACTAATGCATCGTTAAACAATTAAAATATATATAACACAACATGATAACACATACAAAATATCTAATCATAATTTTAGGTACATGTTATAATTATAATAACAATAATACATCAATCATATCCAATCATTTTCCTCACATGTTGTAGGCCACTTTTGCTTCTAACTCCACATATATTTCAGCGTTCGACATATGTGCTGGGTGGCGTTTTAGAAATACGAATCTAACATTCTATCATCGAAATATTGTGTTGACTATTATGTAAGAATAGAAAAAATATAATTACACATTTATTACTAATTATAATTTATAGTGTAGTGATAAACGCTTAATTCTAAAAATTATATATCGGAACTAATAATTTTGAATGGCCAAGGATAGCATGCGTTAAATTTTAAAATGGTACATGGGGTCTACATGTTTCATGTGCCAATAACATTTAATTGAAATCATAAATTGGGATAAGGTAGGTAGTTGGTTTTAGTACGAGGTTTCTTCAACCATAAAATGGGGAAAAAATAATAATGTGACAATTATGTAATTATAATGGCACATTTGTAAACGTTGAATAGTGTATCAGTGGATAATAAATAGTGCACACGCATGAGTTCACTATTATAGATCTTGAATGCACTATTTGTTATATGTGAATGTACTATATATCAAGTGTTTCTAAACGCATCGTCAAATATAGAAAGGATTCCTCATTTTTTTCTCAACTTCCAACCCTTTATCATCATCGGAAAGCCTTTAACCGCTACTTGAAGAGGTACGTAATAAGGACATATGTGGCTGACATATTCCATCTGTGATTTTGTTCTAGTTTAGCTCCTGTAGAATAATTGTATATGGTAGACTAGTTGTTACAACTCCTTTGCTACCTTTTCTCCTCTGTATACTATTTATAGCTGATTGAGTAGTTGAGTTTGTTTCAATAAATCTTCACTTCATAAACTCTACATGGTATCAAGAGCCTAAATCTCCTACCAAAGAACTTTTTTTTTCTCCTTTCCAATCGATGGCTTCTACTACCACTGCCAACACCAATGAGATCATTCAACTAAATGCTCCTACAACTTTCCTATCAAACTCACTACCACCAATTTCCCAGTTTGGCGCCGACTGGACCACCAAATCTCTGGGTGAAGCTTGCCTTGTCGCCTTAGTTGGTAAATGACCACATTTTCTCAAACTGAGAAGGCTAATAGATAACTTCCACATGAAGTTAAACTTAAAACTTTATTATTACCAAACTAACTATCCGACAAACTTCACCGAGTTTTTTTTTTTTAAAAAAATTGGATAGGTGTAAAAAGAGAATCCAATATAATGGTATAGGGAATATGGCCAACTGTATGTGTTGGTTTATAAAGCCCTAAACCCACGTGAGTATTTAATGTAAATGAGGGGACCCAGAAAACAGGAGGGCGTGGAGTGTCACGTGGAGCAGTCTAGCGAAGGCGGAGTGAAAGTACACGTGTCAAGCTGGGATGGCAGGGTGGGAGGGTGTGTGCACGTGATTCCTAGTCCATACAAGCATGCATGCACGAAGAGAAAAGTGTAGTTTTCATTGAATGAGGCTTAGCTTGTTTATCTAATTATAGTCTATAGGAGGTATGTGACCACCTATTTTTGTGTACGGAGGGAGTATTTATGCTTATATGCCCCCTATCATATCATGCATCTTTTTGTTTTTTTGATCAATACTATATAGGTTTTCGCAGGATGATGAGTTAACATCTTGATTGATGTGGAGTTTGATTGGGTCTTTGTGCATATGGAGCATTATGATGTATGCATATTAAGCACGTTTTATGTGCAATATAGGGGCATGTTTAATATGCACACAACATAATGCTTCATATACACACGCATGTCTTTAATTTCAAAATTAATCTCATCTATTGATCTGTATTTTAATACATCAAATTGGTTCTCATGACTCATGAAGAGGGTGATTCTCATATAATCACTAATCTATATATAGGCCGGGTTAGGTTCTTATACGGTTACACTTCATTAGGTAAGAATAAATGCACCACAAAGTGTTTGAAAATGCATCATTAAGTGTGGTGCATTTGTGCATTTCATTCTTGTGCGTTTTTGAACAGTGTGTGGTCCATTCATGCATACCTAATTATGCAATCCAGACCGGCAGCATGGAAAACCCTGTCTTCATTTAAACCAGTATATACATACATATATATATATATCCATAATGATATAATTTGTGTAATAAAATTGCATAAGTTCATCAAACAACAACCACATACTTGTATGATGCATGAGGTCAAATTCTTGAACGACAAAACTGCATTTTCCAAACACAAATCCAGTTCCACATCATAATGTTATCCGATAGGAAAAAAAAATTAAGATTTTTCTGGTTGTGAGGACAGCATTATATTACTCTTCATCCACAAGAATGGTTGACTCATTACCCACTCCAGCATCCAGCAAAGTTGCCATATCATCCTCGAGCAGCGTTGGAAATGGGGCGCCCTGCATAACCATGAAGAATGTTCATTGCAAAACTGCGCAATGTCTTAAACCGAGAGGTTACCCTCCAGTGTTGATATGCAGGAAGTTACTGAGTGGGATGGGCAAGCTTTGTACAATATATATATATATATATATATATATACACCAATCGTGATGATTATGAAATGATAACAAAAAAGGCAATGATATGCAGTGTGTGTAAGTAGTGTGCATACCGCTTCCTGAAGAAATAATTTAGGCTTGATAGATCTTATGTTGAAGAAACTCTCGCAAAGGTTCTTCAGCTTGCCAACCTGAATTACACTGTAAACGTTGAATCCCATATAAAAGCGAGAGGAAATATTACATGAGATGATAGTGCTTGGTGTATTACCGTGATTGTCACAGGCAACTTTTTGGTCAATGGAGGCTTTTCACCGATTGATGCTCCAATACACTTCATGGTAATTGCTGCAGAGTGTAGGATTAAAGCGCATTAAGGAAGAAGACTGACCACTTTTTATGCCATAGAGAGCTAATTAAAGACGTTAATAGAACAAATACATATAAGTCCTGCAGCCATTTTCTGGGGTCCGGTTGTTCCACTCTCTGGTTTTTCATCATCAATTCCATGGTGTCTTTTTAGCTCAGCAAATCTGTTACCATAATCAATGCATATTAGACACATTTAAACATTTTATTCAAATTCACTTGCCTAGTAATAGTTTTGTTTGTCCATAAAAGTACAAAGGGGAAATGAAACAAAATATTTCTCAATTGCTAATCTAAACCAACCACACTTCTTTTCATACCACCCCTCCTCTCCCCATAAAAAGAAAATTTTCAACTTCATATTCTGGTGTTGGTATTAAGGGAAGGAGAAAGATTCTACCAAGTGGAAGTTTTTAGTTTATTTTGACATTGGCTGAGCAATAATGTAGAAGCAAAACAGATACTAGAAAGAGGGTTACCTCGGGTGAAGTCGGTCGATTTCTTGTGGATATTCATGACATTTAGACATGACTAATCGGACATACCTGCATCAGTATTTCAAAGTCAAACCATGTCAACAATATATTTGATGCTTTCCAGTACCTAACAGTGAAGGCCTGCATGCAAGCCGTTCAAGCCAATCAATAGGTATACAAAAGAAAGACCTACCGAATTTCAGATTCCTTCCGCTCTCTAGGACTAATCTGAAAGAAAGTCAAGTCATATAAATTCATCATAGTTTTTAATAATTTTAAACTACCTACAAAAGACCTGCGCAGTATCCAGAAGTTACCTCACTTCCATTTAATATTTTTACTCCTGCTAGGCGTGCCACCAAAACAAATCGAGATAGGCCACTTTTTACTGGATCTGTCACTGGATTCTCAGAAAGTCTTACTTCCTACACAAAATGGAATACATACACATGAAGTTCATAAAGTCAAATCTTGCAGTTCTACTACCAGTTTTAAGGATATAGTATGAGTTCCATATTTTAATCAAATCTGCCTAACCAATAAGCCTAACTCTTTGATGGGATACCATTTGAAATTTTGAAATCAAGATTGTTAAAATAATTATTCACGATCTTTAGTTGAGAACAAATCAAATAATGCACTAGAGAAATCAAAATAAAGTGCTTACCAACAAATTAGGAAAATAATTCAGCGAATCAACAGATTCCACATCTTTAATGATGTTGTTACCTGCAGTTATAAAGAAAAGGCAACCAACTAAAGCCTTGGCAGGACAGCAAAAACTGACAAAATTTACCACTGTAAATATGTTTATAGTATTACCAAGAAGGAGGGAATGCAAATTCTTGAAAGGCTTAGAGCCTTTCCCAAGACATTCATCACCATTGGCAACCGTTTCATGTAATGTACCATGATCAGGGTACCAGATGCAGCTTAAATTATTGTGGTTCAAAAAAAGCTGTTCCAAGCTAAATGTGAGAATGAAAATGAGAACCAGAACCAAAAGTAGTAAAAGGTAAATATTTTACATGAGTGAAAAAAAGAAACATTTAATTTAGGTACCTTCTCAGTTGCGAAAGCTTCAAGATTTCTTCCCAAGAATCTATACAGTTATCATCCAGATTAAGGAGATGCAGAGAATCAAACCCTTTGACAAAGGTTGAAGATGAAGGCTAGATAGCAAAAATCAAGGTTTTGTTAAAGAAAATCACCAAGCAGTTTTAGTACTTTGAACATGAAACTTTTCTCTTTGCATTTCATGATGGATTGTCTACACAGTAATGCATTACAAAATAGGTTGCTCATTTGAGTTTCTGGTTTTAGTTTAAGTAATGAATATATAAGTAAACACCAGTAAGCAAAAAGAAACAATAACAAGAAAGATTCTTTCTGCCAAAACCATTTAGATTTCTGACAAAATTTCACACAAACATGTACAAGATGAACCAAAAGTACAAAAAATCAACAGCAAAAACAATATAACAGTGTTGAGTACCGTTATTTCTTTCAGTTTATTCCCCACCAGATGTAGCTCTTCAATGAATGGGAAGGAATCTTTAAGTATTTCAACCTGTCAGGTTGCATGTGTTATACTTAACATGTGTGCTTAACAATTTTAACAAAGATAATAAAGAACAAAAAGAAAACTTACATGCTTCCAGCTGATTCCTGTATGGTTCAAAACTAAAATCCGTATATTATTTAGCAAGGGCATTCCACTTATATCATGTGCCATAATATTGTGTGATAGGTTCAGAGCTGCAAGACCTGGCAACTCTTTACAGATTATACCAACCTCCTAGAAATAAAAACAAATAGAATATGTTCAGTCATTTAAGTAGGTACTGCAATATAAACAGGCCCTATAGCCTCTTTTATATAAAAGCATGCAAGAATGCATAATTCATAATGTATCTGAGCTAGTTTTAAGACCAAGAGAGAGAAATGATGAGGCCTTTCAAATTTATTGAAATTTATGACATGGGGAGAAATATGAATTTCACTTGCCTCCCACTCAGATAGCAGGTTCCCAGTCAAATCAAGCTCCTTTAAATCTGTATAAAGGCATTTAGAATGTAACAAAGAGTTCCAAATTTTATCTATTTACAGTTGAAATAAAATGATGTGCAAAAAAGCCTTTGTCACAGAGAAGAGCAAAATTGCAAAACAAAGTACTACACAAATAGTATAGAAGATAGCAACTTGATTAGAGAGAGCGAGAGAAACTGTTCCTTAGGAAAAGAAAAGGAAGAAATGGGTATATATTACATGTATATGTTTCATTTGAATCACAGCTCACATGAAACGAGGCCAAGTCAAAAAAAAGCAATATAACAGCGTAGGAAGGGGGTGAAGACATGAAGCTTATAAAATAGGGAGATCATGTGCCAGAACTGGGGTAGAAAAAAATGAACCACTTGGAACAGCACTTGATTTACTTGGTATAGTTGTACTAATGTGGCATGGATCTCCGGCAGAGCTGACTCCTAAATAAGACAATGATGCACTTGTCAACTCCTCAAAATGACTCAGCTTATTCTGAATCTTTTCTTTACCCAGAAGCTCAACAGTTACTCGTTTGTTGCTTGCAGAGAAAACATACATCTCATCTGCACACAAAAGAACCAAGAAAAGATTAAATTATATGGATAACGTTAAACAACCAAATTATATTTGTTTGTGAAAGTATGCACAAAAGAATAATTACAGTCAAACACAAGCTAAAGAGCTCATGCTCAAGGACCATGTTCTCTGTATACTTCAACAATTTTGTGAATTCTTATCAATGGACAAATGCTGGGCATCACACTGAATCTTTTAGAGGTAACTCAATACACTTTTATTGAGGAAAAATTCAACCAGAATTTGTTCCTTTTTGAAATGGTATCTCTTGCAGTAGCCAACATTTACAATAGTAAGAACTACGAATAAGTGAGCTCTAACAGACTAAAATGATAAGCCTAAGCAACATAACTTCACATGATTAGATTCCAGAAATTTCCAAAGTGAGTCCAGCTATCATCACTCAAATACTAAAGATGAACACTCCCATAGCGAAGCTAAGAGTTCGTTCTACTGCAATTGCACTTACCCTCTTCTTCTTTACTGGAAGCCGTACGGTACCGGAGCTCGAGCGCCTGCAAGAGCGGAATGCCGACGCTGAGATTGTGCGGTCGCACAAACGACGCCGTTGTATTGCCGGCAGCTTCGAAGTATCGGACACCGTTGTGGCAGCCATCATGCTTCCCGTCCCCGTTGTCCCAGTCAACTCCGATCCACGTGCCGGAGTATCCCTCCACCGGTCCGACGTATTTCACGCTGCCGATCCGGCGGGAGTCTCCGGCGTAGTGGACTCGTTGCCTGACCCGGAATCCGGACCCGTGCCCGGATTCTCTTGTATCGGATCTCTCGGAATCCATTGCGCTTTGAATCTTGCCAGTACCATTTTTTACAGAAAACCCAAAATATCTTTATTAAGGTGAAGAATAGACTTCAATTATTTGCGTGCATAATGGTGCAAAAACGGCACCGCTTTTTTAAATAAAGAAATTGTAGTCATTAAATTATTTTTGTGTGTTCATAATAAAATGAAATTATAATGTATTATATTTAAAATAAAATTGAATAATTTGTCTTACATATATGTTTATTTTATCAAATGAAACCGTAATTAAAATGAAATGATATTTTAGTTGTGTTTGAAATGAAATTACAATATCTATAAAATCAAACTAAATAACATCTTTCACAATATAGAGTGTGTAGTGTCAAATGAAAATATAATTATATCAAAATGATAATTTAGTTGTGTTGTAATAAAACTACAGTGTATATAAAATGAAACTGAATTACAGTTTCACATATTTGATTGTATATTATCTAATGAAATCATAGTTGAATTAGAATTACTCCGTATAATTTAGTTGTATAATAAAACTACAATGTGTATAAATAAAATTTAATAACATATCTTACTATAATAAAACTACTGTATGTATAAATGACATTGTAGTTAAAATAAAATAACATTTTAGTTGTACTAAAATAAAACTACAATGTATATAAAATAAAATTGAATATATTATACAAACAGAACTAATTACATGAAGCGAATGTCCAAATGGTATACCACATAACCTAAAGTCACCACTTATCATCAGAAATTCACCAACATCTTGAAATTAAGACTTCCCGAACTAGAATTTGGGATCCCAAGGAAACCTAATCTATATATATATATATATATATATATATATATATATATATATCAGCCACTAGTTTCTACAAACCACAGGAATTTACATGCAAACCTCAAGATAGTACCAAAAGGAGAAACTAATAGGTTGGACATCTGAACTTTTACATTCTTCTAAGGCTGAACCCGAACCCTATCTGAACTGTTACATTACAAACAAAACTAGTAATATTATGCTTATCAAACCGAGAAAAACAACTAGGAATTTAATACAAACCACAAAATAGTTCCAAAAACAGAAACTAATAGTTTTAACATCTGAACTGTTACATTACAACAACATAGGAATTTAATACAAACCACAAAATAGTTCCAAAAACAGAAACTAATAGTTTCAACATCTGAACTGTTACATTGCAAACAAACAAACAAACAAACCAAACAAAAAACAAGCAACCGCTAGTTTCTACGGACCACAACCAGCAGGTCAGACATCCAAAATGCAACATTACCAACAAGCAGCCACAGCAGCATACCAATCTACAGACAAACAATGTGAAGTTAGCATTTTGCAGAAGAATTAAGGCAACCTGGAACCTTAAAAAGGCACACAACATACATACTGTTATAATCTAAAATTGGGTCAAGTCACTCAACTGGGCAATAATGCACAAGATTGAGTTTAATCAATTAGCTAGTCTTAACCCATATGACCTTATAATCCTATATGTTCTCTCTTATTTTTTTCAATGTGAGACTCTTAACACATACACAAACCATAATTAAAGTTTGTGATTATAACAAAGAAAAAAAGGGTATTGGTGCACCTACCTACCTTCACGGCTTCACCATCCCATTGCAATCAGCTTGAATGGATTAGAGCGTGAACATGAAACCCTCTGACAGGAACTTGTCTCTACAAGAAGCAAAGATATCAGCAGACAAAAACAGACATTAAATGGCAGCAGAAGTGAACGGGGTATCAGTGTACCTCTTCTTATTGCTTCTTCTCTTAGTGCCTCCACTGCTTTCACCTTCTGTTATACCTACCACCTTCCCAACACCAGCATTAAATCGAACCAGGCTTCCGAACCACATCTGGTGCATCATAATGGCTGGCACACTGGGGATGCGGAATGCTGAATCCCTAACCTTTCTCTGTTCTATATCATACCGAAGAAGCTGTTTACCATTTAGTACCATAAACACTTCCCTTCCACTCTTGGAGAATGCCAATGGCGTCACAAACTCAAGATGTTTGCCGCTCACTTCTGATTCTGTAATTGTGAACAGCTTAGTCCAAGACTCTTTCACTCCATAGCTCTTCATGACCCAGATGTCAACATATGATGAATCATAATAGTTGCAGACCACACAGAGGGATTCCCCTAACACACCCACAGTCACATACACTGCTCCTTTGGAGTAATTTGGCTCAGGAACCAGTCTGTACTCCTCAGTCCCAAGATCGAAAGCACCTATCAGATTCTCCATGTATAACTGTGCGGTTCTGCTTACAACCCAATGCAAAGCACCTGCAACCAGGACTCCATTGGATCTTTTATACTTCAGACAGTAAGGAAAGCAAGGAATTTTCTTCCAAGAATTCGATTTCAGACTATAAACTCTGGTTTCACTCTCACATTCATGGGACTGGAAGATTCTCAATACCTTATAATCATCACCCACTTTATCATACCCAAACCCGAACACCAAGCACCAGATACAAATGACTGATTCTCCCAAGTATTCAACCTCCGGGAAGGGAAAACGGAAGTATTTCTGGGTTGCTGGATTCCACAGCACCATCCTATCTCCATCGTCGCAGGTATCCATGCACAGCAGCCCGTGGCAAGACCCCAGAATAATAGTTCCAAACGCGCGCTTGTGGGGCAGGTCAAGCGCTGTATATACGGCTGTGTTTGTCTGTTCGAGCTCATCAAAGTCCGCAACGTAAAGGTGGCAATCTGAGGGGAGGATGAGCTTCCGATCAGAGTTGGTTTGGAGGGCTCGATTCAGATGCAATTTGATGAAGTCCGGGCTGTCTATTATCTCACGCCATGATTTTGATACGCACCTTAAGCGTAGCAGAGGCCGTGCCGGAACTCGGGACAGAAACTCAGTGACAATTTCCAGTGGTATGTCCGACATTGTTGGATGAAGTAGAAGCTTGCTGCATGAGAAATTAGTTTCAGGGTTTTAGTTTTGATTTTGGTTGGTCAAATAAAAATGTTCAAATTAACCCTTAAATTATATATATATACTAATTGAACTTTTTTAACAGGTTACTGTTAAAAATTGTTGATATGTCATTCACATACACATAAATATAATGTTGATGTGACATTCATATGTCAAATTAAACAAACTAATTAATATTTTACATTTGAAAAAACAACAATAACAACAAGAAAATTGAGTATGATTATTACAGAATTTAAAGAAACAACAATCAAGCTGCCATCTAAGATCTTGGTGAAGGCAGCCATGGCTGATGACTACTTTCGCCCATCCTCATCTCTAGATATGCTAAAAAGACTAAATTGTATGGCTTTTTTTTTCCAAATTTGTGGGTTAATTTGGATTTTTTTAAAAAGTTCAAATGTTCAATTCTATGTTCATATAAGTTAGATACCTTATTATCCCAATACAAATCAAGGCCAGCAAAATAATTGTCAAATTCTCTAAAATCTTAGTCAAATATTAAGAATATCAAGTATATTATAAATAAAGAAGGAAAAATGACACTAATAGACTAATAGTCCATCTGTTATGACCCCCATGTGTATATTTAGCCCCTTAGTTATTTGCAGTACAGATATAGTCATTCAATTATTATCAAAGTTGTGAATTTGATCGGTTAGGTAACAAATTAGCCACTTTACTACTAAGTCGCATATTGGGGGATTTGGTCTCTTACAAATAATAGCACATTCTAAATCAGATCTAGCCAACATCAAGCAGTATAACATAGTTCAAATTTATCAAACTAAATAACAAAATAAATGGAGCCTTAGAAATGCAAATCGAGTTCAATCAATGCAAAAAAAGAGGTCTAAATGAATATATACCTTCTGATTTAGAGTTGGACAAGAGTCTACTAAAGATTTTAGAAAGCCCGTTGTGTTGACATTCTTTGAACTAGAGGATGAGAGGCTATCGGAGATGGAGGCTGCGTTGTTGGAGATATAGGCTACAACAATGGAGAAGGCGATGGGGGATTAGATCTAGTGCTTGAAGCGGTGGAGATAGAAGCTGGAGCACGCATATAGAGAGAAGCGATGAGGAATAAGAAAAGAAAGGGGCAAAAGGGGGTTTAAATGTTGTTGGAAGGGTATGACGTCTTTATCCACTGTTCACACGCGTTGCGTCTTTCTATTTCTCCAAATTTGGTGAATTGGTTAATAAATGGATTCTCCAACGTTGAATTTGAAAGATCCAAATGCCTAGCCCCCACCCGCCAGTTAGGCGGAAGCAAAGATGAAGAATCAAGGAATGAGAAAATATATATTGTATGAAAGTGAATAGAAGGTTTATAAATCTATGTTAGAATGGGGAATACACACCCCTATAAATACATGCTAGAAGACTTCTAATAATGAAATAAGTTTCCTTATGACTACTTACTCAAATCCCATATTACTTGTACATTCCATAATATCCAAAATCTAAGAAAATGGTGAATTGGTTTCCATTTTCATTTTTGAAAAATGGTAAGTAAACGAGTTCTCCATTTTTTTTCAATTATCTATTTTTTCAGTTTTCTATGTTTACATAAAATTGACCAATTCTTTTAGTTATGAATCACACCCTAAAAGTTTCATCACTCCATGCCCAATAAAAAAATAATAATAAATGACATTTAGTTTCTAAGTTATACTTCAAGTTTAGATTGATTCATGTAGTTATTGTCGTGTTTATTTCTTGGCACTCAATTATTCTCGACAAATAAACTCATTGGAACATTATACTCTTCTCATCCCTGTAATTTTCCCTCTTTCAAATTGACATGACAAAGCCGAAAGCCCATGTCAATTTTTTTCCTCCAACAGTACTCGAAAAGAATTACAACCAATTGTTATAACATGGACAAGGGTACACCTTACGATATGGACCCTGGTCCAAACGCATTCAAATTATATACCTACAGTTAACATATTACGTACATTGTTAATAAATTATGTACCTATAAATAAACTGAAGGTACATAATATGTTATTGTAACAAGTACATAACTTTTTAACAATCACAAAAATTCACATGGAACAGGTATGGTTTTGTTCATTAATCTTCCAGGATTACAAAATATAACACATATAGCTTCGGAAAGCAGGTAGTAGCTCGCTATCACCAACCAAATCATCAATCTCAGGCAAACAATATGAATCAAGAAATATTATTACATGAAATAAGCATTTTGCAGAACAATTAAAGCCATGTAACCTGAAGGTGTCAACTTGATGGGAAATTTATTTATCTCTTCATCAATACATACACAGCTAAATCAAAGGCAAGATGGAACCTCAAAAAGGCACATAACATATATGCATACACAGACTGTATGTGTTTGTGATTATGAAGAAAGAACAAAGGTATTGGTGTACCTACCTCCACCATCTCATTGCAATTAGCCGTAATGGATTAAAGCACCAACTTGAAGCCCTCAGACAGGAACTCATCTCTGCAAGAACAGAACATATTAGCAGACAAACAGACATTAAATGCACAATAAAGGCAACTCTAAAGACTGGGGTGAACAAGGTATTAGCATACCTCTTCTTATTGCTTTCTTAAGCTTGCCCACAATCTACTACCCAAGAATCAACTGAGCGACCTGCGCAACCTGTGCAAGCCTTCTTATTGCTTTCTTGACTAGTGACTTGGCTACCTATAGTTTGCTTTCTATCCACCACCTCCCAACCCTGTCCACAATCTACCACCCAGGAACTAACTGAGCTACTCGTGCGGGCCTTCTTATTGCTTTCTTAACTAGTGACTTGGCTACTTATAGTTTGCTTTCTATCCACCAACCCCCCAACTGCCACTAACACCGCCATCAAGTCGAACCAGGCTTCCAAAGCACAATTCATGCTCCATAAGGATTGGCACACTAGAGATGCAAAATGTTGAATAACTAATTGTTCTCTGTTCTGTATCATACCAAAGAGACAGTGTACCATTTTGCACCATAAACACTTCCCTGCCACTTTTGGAGTATGCTACTGGTGTCACATTCTCCAGTGGTTTGATTCTAACATCCGATTCTGCAACCCTAAACAGCTTAGTCCAAGATTCTTTCACTGCATACTTCTTCATCACCCAAATGTCAATGTAAAAGGAAACACAATAATTGCAGACCACACAAAGGGATTCCCCTAAAACCCTCATCACATGAGCTCTTTCATTGGAATAATTGGGCTCAGGAACCAGCCTATATTCCTCAGTCCCAAGATCAAAAGCTGCAAGCAAATTTTCCATTTCTGAGTCTGGCTTCCTGCTTACAACCCAATGTAAAGCACCTGCAGCCTGTACTCCATGGGCTCTTTCATATTTCAGATAATGAAGAAAACAATGAATTTTCCTCCAAGAGTTGGATTTCATACTAAAAACTTTCACTTCACTCTCACAGTCATAAGACTGTGCTATTCTCAATACCTTGTAATCATCACTCACATTATCATACCCAAATCCGTAAAACACATTCTGATCCCTAGAAATTTTAGACCCCGAGAGGAGTGATATGAGGTATTTCCGGTTTGAGGGTTCCACAACACAATACTATCTTCATCGCCATTATCCAAACACAGGAGCCCGTGGCAAGACCGCAAAATAGTTCCGACGCCGGGCCGGTTTAAGGGGTGGTCAAGCTCCTCATATACGGATGTATTCGTCTTTTCGAACTCATCGAAGTGCGCCGAGTAGAGATGCCAGGAGCGGAGAATAAGCTTCCGATCGGAGTCGGTTGGGATGGTTCGATTCAGATGTGTTTTGATGAAGTCTGTATTGTCGATTATCGCACGCCATGATTTTAATACGCACCGGAATCGTAGCAGAGGCTGTGCCGGAACTCGGGACAGAAAGTCGGCGACTATTTCCGGCGGTAAGTCCGACATTGTTGCTTGGCGAATGTTTCGAAATGCCAGCAAAATACGAATCAAATGACCTCCAATTCTCTAAAAATTATTCATTATGTCTTCTCTTTCTATACAAGATTCGAGTTACAACTTACCGATAATCTATTTCTATAACACCATTTTGGTTTCCATAATGAATTTTAAAAGAATATCAAATACTATTTCATAGGAAATGAAATAGATAAAAAATATATAATTGAAATTGTATTTTATTGTTTGGTTCTGTGAATGAATAGAGTTTATAAATAGGAAAAATGGCACTTTTTCCCCTGTGTTATATACTTATAGTACTTTTTCCCTCTATATTATTTAAGTGGCAATTTTCCCCCCTGATATATTAAATGGACATATTTATCCTTAAAATAAATATTTCCTTTATTTTACTTCTCCAACAAATTATAACCACAATTTTCCAAATACATTAATTGTTGAATTTAGAATACTTTAAAAATAAAAAAATAAAACTTTAAAATAATGTTTGAACCAACAGTTCAAATTGGATCCGAAAATGTGAGAGTCAATATAAATGCGAAAAAAACATACACTATTTGCAAATATTATAATTCTAATTTTAAGCTATTGCTAGTAGTTGTTCCGATTTGAACCTCTGGTTCACGGTTCAGAATCTATTTTCTTCCACTTCACAATTTTAATAAACGGAAACCCAAATATTGGGTTATGTTATGAATCATAACCGAATTTTTTTTTATTTGATTGCTATAGTGTTCGGTTCAGTTCGAACCAAACCGTGGCCATCCCTACGTATAAACAATAATTTGTTGAACAAGAGAAATAAATAAAATATGTATTTTAAGGGTAAAAATGTCTATTTAATATTATCAGGGGGGAAAACCGCCACTTTTATAATAATTGAGGGGGCAAATGTGGATGCATGAATAACTCAGGGGGAAAAAGTGCTATAAGCATATAACATAGGGGGAAAAAGTGCCATTTTCCCTTATAAATATTACTTCAGTGTTTAGTTTGTTTAAGGAATAGAAATGAAATATATATATATAAAAGACATAATTATTTTTATTGAAAATGATATGTCATTTCAGACCTATTTCGTGAACAAAACGTGCCATAAGAGTTATAGGTAGAGGGCGGATAAGAGAATAAGAGATTATAGATAATGAAGCAAGATCAAGCTTAATAATAAAGGGTCAATTAAGCCATGAACTTTATTCGAAAGTATAATTAGGTATTTGACATTTACAAAATATAATGAGTAAATACCCAAAATGGTTCCTCGACTATAGCAAAATTCACAAATTGGTCCTTGACTTTTAATTTCAACCAATTAAGTCCTTAACTTTGCAAATTTAACACAATTTGGTCCTTTGTCTATTTGACCGTTTGTTGACTGCGTTTTTTTATGATATATATGTAATTTCATGGTCCATCGTCGGTTTTTTAAGGTTTCGGTTGCATTTCTAGACCGCACTGTTACATTTGAATCCACTGCCGGCACTGCACCCCATGCCAGAGAGATTATAGCTTTTGATAGATAGATCGCCGAAGTCCATCTATCGCCGAAGTCCCTGGAGTGGCTCTTCGAGAAAGCCGTGACTCCAAGCGATGTAGGCAAGCTGAAGCGGCTTAGGATCCCCAAGCAGCAAGCGGAGAAGCACTTCCCCCCTCAGAAACGGCGCTGTCACCTCCAAGAGCGTTCTCTAAGCTGAACCGGCTCGTGATCCCCAAGCAGCAAGCGGAGAAACACTTTCCCCTCCGAAACAACGATGTCACCTCCAAGAGCGTTCTCTTGAGCTTTGCACGTGAAACTACATATATATCCTCAACGATCGCGGTCAACAAATGGTCAAATAGATGGAGGACCAAATCGTGTCAAAATTGCAAAGTTAAGGACTTAATTGGTTGAAATTGAAAGTCGAGGACCAATTTGTGAATTTAGCTATAGTCGAGGGACCATTTTGGGTATTTACTCAAATATAATTAAATATCCAAATTTATAATTTTAGTGCATTTAAACCTAATATTTGGTAATTTATCTGGAATAAACGGTCATCAAAATTCTAGCGATAATTCTAACTATAAAAAAATTAACGACTCTTTGAATTAAAAAAATAATAATACTCCGTAATAATAATTAACAACTAACCCTGACTGGTCTTCTTCTTCACTGGAGATGACGATGGTCGTCGTATTTTTCATTAGAAAAGGCGGCCAAATCGGTCGTTATCTCTAGTTGAAAAGACAACCAGCTCTCCATTGGAGAAGGCGACCAGACTGTTGGTCGTCTTCTCTACCATAGAAGACGATTTATTTATTTAATTTTACGACCGATATGGTGGATAAGACTGGAAAAAGTTATTTGCAATTGAATTTTTTAAAGGTCGTGAACAGTGGTCAACGATCATAATTTTACCGATTTGTTATCGGTAAATCATATTTAATTGACTCATTTTTACATGTTTGAGTGTTTAATTGTATTTTTTTAAGTTTAAGGGTCTAATTGCATTTTCGAATAAAGTTTAAGGATCTAATTAACTTTTTTTTCTCAACTTAATAATAGAGTTTTATTCGATGTGACAAACTTTTCACTTAATAAGTGAATGAATTGTCAACTAATATTTTATGTAATGACACTTTAATCATTTTAAATGAGTGGTTATAAATTGATCTTAATCAGCAAAAAATTATAAAGAGATAAATCAACTCATTTGTAAGACCAATATAAACCATTATAACGAGAAGTCAAACTTGCAATCACATTGCCAATTAATATGAAAATGGTGAAGACAATGCAAGTGGTTGAGACATAAGAAATTGTCAAATTCAGAGTCACAACTTCAGCAAGCATGACATCATCTCCCAAGTATTTATATGTCAACATTATTTGCAGTCACATTAATTGGATTCGATTATGCAAAGGTTGCTTTCCAAATAAAGTTTAATTTACGCGTTGGAGTTTCTCACCGACGGATTATATATTATACTCTACCTTAGTCTTATTTTATATATAATAACATGTTCAATATTGCATTGGTTAAACCAAATTGTATCCTTTCAAAAAACCAACTTGTATATTCAATGACAAGCTCCGCGAAATACTATAAAAATCATGTGCAACAAACACAATTGAAAGAAGTATTAATAATGAAACTCATGATGATCTTATAAATAGGTGACACGAAATAATTCTTCCAAATGAAAGATTATGGGTATAATCTTATATATAGTACGAAAATCATTCACCACCACTCGACCACCTCTTTCAAGACATTTACGTTAGAATTATTATATATTGATGAGTTGACCCGTGACTCATGTTGAGATGGAGTTAATTAGATAACTCAACTGTCTAATCAAATAGTTTGAATTATCACAAAATTATAAAATAATAAAATAAGACAATAACACGTCTAATGTTCTTTAAATTGTAGTGTATTAGTGTCCATATGAAAAAGTATAATAATATTAAGCCACAACACTAATATTTTACATATAAGGGTGCTTCACATACAAATGTGCATGAAATCTCTAATTCCCATATGTACTAGACTTTGTCAACTTGTATTCAAACATCTTGTGATTTCCAAAGAGTGAACCAATATTCATTATATAGTATACACTACATTCAAAATAATTAAAGAGTTTACAAAGTCCTTGTTTTAGTATGAATTATTTATTAAAAATAAATACAATAAAGCTACTACTTCTATATAGGACAATTTTTGTATTTTTCCATCAGCCTATAAGAGAGTGTAAGATGGTGGACAATCAAGACAAGCACATAGTCTTCTGAAAAAATATTTAAAACTTTAAAAACTAAAAACATTTAGATTTTTATAATATAATAAATAGAATATGGTTTTACCACATGCATGCAATAATTGAGTAAGACCTCTTCAAACTTTCAAAGTCTACACTCCATCAACATCAATATAATTACACTAGTGAAAATTAAAATAAAATAAAATATGTAATTAAGACTCCTCTCAGTTCCCACCCCTCATTATCTTCTCCATGGATTATTAGGACTATTTGGTCCTCCTCTACTCCCCTAGCTAGGCTCCCACAAATGCTACATAGACTAAACTTGATTTAAGTTCGATCAAATATAACATAGACTAAACTTGATTTAAGTTCGATCAAATATAACCGCTTATTGGTTACAAAAGACAAAAATAATTGAAAAAACTATTAAAAATATGGTCAAATCACACTGATACAATATATTATCATAAGAAGTTGGATACCATCTCGAAAAATTAAATAGACAGATGACGAAAATATACTATTTTAAAAAATTGTCATTTAATTTAATCTTGACCCGGGATTCTAAGAATCCCAAATGGAATCAGTGTGCATTTCTACCCAATCCCCTTCTAAATCCTCTATTGATGTTCCTAATTCCATCCATATCGCACTAGGCGAGTCCATTGGCGTCTCGTTTATTGCCTCAATCTGACTTTTCGATAACCCCACCCTAACCGAACTCAACCCCGCCGCCGCCTGACCACCGCTCCCGGACGGTGTCTCCGCCGCCGCCGTGGCAGGCGGCCTCTTGAACCGCATTGCCGCCTCCTGGGCGGCCAGCCTGACGTCCTCGGCGCGGGAACTCGCGGGCTTAGGGAAACCCTCCACCAAGTCCGGGAAGTTGAGGCGCACGCCGGCGAAACCCTTGAAGTGAAACGCCGCCACGTCGTAGGCGGCCGCCGCCATCTCCGGCGTGTCGTAGCTCCCCAGCCATATCCTCGTCTTCGTCCCCGGCTCCCGAATCTCCGACACCCATTTCCCCCATTTCCGCCTCCTCACCCCTTTGTACACTCCCCCCGCCGGTGAGTGCCCGGCGGCACTGTTGCATGGCTCTTCCATTTTTCTTGGATCGTAATTAATTAAACTCCGGCTGTAATAATTTTGTGTGATTCTCAAGAAAATGCTTTTGGATTATATATATATAGAGCATGAAATGGCGGAGATGGAAGCTTGAATTGGTAGTGGATGGAGAAGAAGATGATGAAGCGAAGCGAGCTTCCACGTAGTTGCATGAAACTATGGATTGAAAGTGGATGAAAGTTGTATGACAGAACGACAATGAAAACCCTACCCAAAAAAAAAAAAAAACATTATTAAACGCCACGTAATCATGGTTTATACACAGACTTCTTCTAAAAGAACATGCCCAAGGGTGAGGTGTTTTGGTAAGTTATGTTGTGGGCTCCAATTTCGATTTTATAATAAAGAAAGTGGACTAGTCTGACTTTTGGTAAGTTGAAATTTTCGACCACCTGAAAGTGATCTTAAATCAAGTCGAAAGTTTTGTTCCGACTACTTTTGGTATCTGGAAAAACCTTTGTTGCTATTTCCGACCACGTACTTTTTGCTTTCAATTTAATTTAAGATTACTTTCAGGTGGTCAGAAATTTCATAATTTCCAGTAGTGTTAATTTGCCCTTGGTCGGTCCGGTGTGAACCGGGATTAGTCTGAGTATGACACGGGTTTAAAGGTGCATCCTACAGTTAGGGTTTGCTCAGGACAACTAGCTCGTGGTTTGACAAAAAAAAAAAAGGATGAAAAATGTTGAATTGTTATTTTATTTTGGTGAAAATGCCCCCGCTCAAGGCGGGTATTAACTAACCCTTCTGAACTTAGCAGCGCTGACATCCGTAGAAAGGAGCCCCAAGATGTTATCGGGTGGGCCTCTACAACGGTTGTACTCCCATCCCTGACCAAGATTTGTAAAGAAATCAGCACATGTGTGAGGCAACTCTCTTTAAAAAGGTATTGTATATATATATTAGTGCAAATTCACCTTCCCTTTCTAATGTTAGACAAAAGTTTGTTCAAGCATTTTCACCTCCATTTTTCAACTCAAATAATGTGTCTATTTTGATAATCAATTTCTCATTTACTCATTATTCATTTAAGCATACAACATATCAATTACTTAATTTCACTTCAAACAATCCGAATCCACTTTAACACAATCTAAAATTGAAAATGGACTTCACTAATATTTGTACCACAAAATAGCAATTTAAAATGTCATTTTATGCATATTTTTTCCAACTGAAAATTCCAAATTCGACAATGAAAGGTAGCTAGCTAGCTGGTTTGTCAAAATTTGTTCAACGGAAGACTAAATGGAGTGTTTTTTTTTTTTAAATGTAAATTGGTTGATCAAACAAAATTACAATTAAACACGTGGTTTTGCTTACCGACGTCGTACCTAGTTGCTTTGGAATATTTGGAGGGTCAAACCGCCTAGATTGTTAATTTGTTATACTATTTTATTCTATCATCGATTCACCCAAAAAAATATATAAACCACAAAGTAAAATGTTTTACAATATCGTACGAATACTATTTATTAGATCTATTTCATAAACTAAAACTCCATTCATCACTAAATTATTTTTTTACAATATGAAAAAAAAAAAGAGATTATTTTATACACTACTATATGCGTGTGTGAGATATCTTACTCTTAAAATATGTTTACGATAAGGATTAAATATATTGATGGTTTTTAATGTACCAAATATACTATAAACGAGACAATATGGAAAATAATATTCAAGAGACTATGGCTCGCAAAATGTCACAATTGAGCTACAAATAATGATATAAATTATTAATTAGGCCAATTGGCCTTGGAACCGTGTCTATCTTGCAAGGTGGATACGGTTCTATGTTCATAATTATTGAATTATATGTTCATAATTATAAAGCTATATATTAACAATTACAGAATTCTATGTTTATAATTACTGAACTCTATGTCCATAATTATAAAATTTTATGTTAATAATTTTTGAACTTCATATTAACAATTATTGAACTCTATAATCACAATTATATTACAGAACTCTATATTTATAATTATAGAATTCTATGTTCATAATTTTTGAACTCTGAATAATTATAACAGTTTTGGAACCGTGTCCACCTTAGGTCTTTGTCTTCAGTTTTTTTTTTTTTTTTTTTTTTTTTTTTTTTTTTTTTTTTAATAGTGGCATTTTGCAAGTAATTAAGTACCAATTTATGAAGAATACGGAAAAAAAAAAAAAAAAAAAAAAAGAGGAGAAAAATGTTGTGACTATTTACCTATTATTATTAACATGCTACTAGAGGTAAAATGGACTCAATTGCGTTATTATCAAATTCATGGATTACTAATTTTGAACTTTTTCGAATTTAACAACTCAAATGTTGTTTTCAATTAAATTCACTGGTCTATTCGACCTTTATCCCAAAAAGTTTTTAAATAATAAATAATTAGTATTTTGAATGACTTTTTGTTGTTGTTTTTATTTTTTTACGAACATTTACCTATGCTAATTTTTTTACAGTGTTATAAAATTTATTCTATTAGGATTAATTATGTGGCTCTACTATATGTTGCAACATTGATTATGACATGAAGAGAAAAAAGTAAAATAAAATAAAGATATGGTGTGACAGTGTGAGGCAACTAATTTTTTGACTTTGAATTAGTGTTAGGCCAGGGAGTAGCATTAATTAATGTAGTATTGTAGTAAAAATTATAATGGTGAGACAACAAACATATATGCATGCTTTGTTCTATGGTACTATTAATTGCGAAAGACAACTCGTTCGTTGAATGTTAGTTGAGGATGTGTTCGGTCGGTAATACGTTTGATTGTTTGGAAATTTCATATTATCGAAAGAAATGTTTAGTTTTTTGAGGTAATTTAAGATTTTTAAGAATGATTTTTGTAATTTTATACAAAATTAAAATGAAATTTAATAAAATTAAAAATCTTATTGTAGCTCCCATACAAAGATTGTTATTCATATTGTTGGTGAATTCATATGATAGTTGAAGGGGAGAAATCACAATTTTGATAAAATTTATAAATGTATTGATAATGAATATAAAATGTTAAATATACATTCTTATTAATAACTTAAATATTTAGTTAAAGTCAAATAACTTAAAATTGCACATGCAACTTAAATAACCAATTAATTACTCATTCCGTCACATTTTATATATTCTATATTTGATTAACAAGACTAAACTCAAGTAGTCACTTATAAATTTATTTTTTATAATATTTAAAAATTACCTAAAAGTATTATTAAATAAACGGATCGGACAAAAATGAATTTAAAATTAAATAATGCGTGTTTGAACAAAATAATTAAATCAATATAATTACTGAAGGGCGAACATATAATTTTATTTTATTTTTTTGCATAAGGTATCTAGAATCCTCGCCATTATAAAAATAATTCAGATTTAGCATTATTTATTTTTTTGTTTATTTGTTAATTAAAAATAAAATTAATTGAATCAATATGTTCTTCTTTAAAGAATTTCACATTCTTCCCCGTCAACAATTTAAAATAATCCATAGAAATTGCATAATAATAATAATTTTAATAATAATAATAATAATAATAATAATACTTATTATTATTATTATTATTACATTAAATTAAAACCTTATCCGAGCAAAAAATAAAAAAATTAAAACCTTATTATTAAAACTTAAAAGTTGATGGTTTTATTACAGCTGGATCTTAGTAGGACTCAAATGAAATAAGTCATACGTATGCCCCCACACTCCCATCACCGATTTTACAGAAATTGTATTTTTACTATTTTTACTATTTTTATTCAAAATCATATAGTAAATTCGTATTATGTTTGGTGAGGTTCGTATTTCACCATGCTAACAAATGAAAATGCCCAACAGCCAGATTCCTACCCACTACCACGTGTGGTCTATAATGACTCAGTAAAACTAGAGATTCTTGTTCACATATCACGTAAATTCATTGGATTTGTTCTTGGTAACAACATGTATTGGTGTTGTATTGTTGATCGAAATGTGTCATTGGAGGACAAAGTCCATAATTCTTGTATTAAAAGGTACAATTTTCGTATTGTTATATTAAGTTTATACACTATTAAGATGGGTCAATGCTTTTACTGAATTTGAACCAAGAACCTCTTATTTAGGAGAGCTACAGTTATGTCACTTGACTATAAGTTTTTTTCTTTATCCCAAAAAGAAATATTGGTGTTGGGTTGTAATAAATATATTTACTATATTAAATGTTGAGGTTATAAAAATTTGCTTTAGAGTTGTCAAAGTGATACCCGTGCCTAGATCGAACTCGCCAAACTGTCATGACCTAAACGAAAAATACTACATGGGCTCTCAAACCAATGCACAACATGTACGCCACACAAAATGCACACGTTACTGTTAGTAGTGCACAAATGTATAATATTTTTTTGAGTTAATACCCAAAATCATCTTCGACTATAGTGTTTTTCTCAATTTTGTCCTAAACGACTTTGGTGACTTAATGTAGTCCCAGAGTTTTGTGTTTTTATTCAATTTCGTCTCAGACTTTTGTTGTTTTGCTCAATTTAGTCCACCATTTGTTATTCCGTCCATTTGTTGTTAAATAAATAGACAATTAAGTAATTTTAATATTGGCATCTCTTTATTCATAGACATGTGAACTGCGAAATCTTTTTTTTTTTTACGAAGTACTCCCAGAATCACTTCTAAAGCTGCGAATATAAAATTTGATTTGTAGGTCTGAGAGTAACTCTGGGTGTAATTCGTGTAAGAAAGAGAGATTTCTCACTTCGCAGGTTGAAAGTAAAGAGAGGTCAATATTGATATTATTGAATTGTCCCTTTATTTAACACCAGTTTGACAGAATAACAAACGGAAGACTAAATTGAGCGAAACACAAAAGTCTGGGACTATATTAGGTCACCAAAGTCGTTTAGGACGAAATTGAGAAAAAACACTATAGTCGAGGACAATTTTGGGTATTAACTCATATTTTTTTTTAAGTACACACATTAAACCTCTAAACCCCAAATCCATAAATCATAAACTCCCAAACCCCACAAAATTGACCATACAATGCACAATCGACGCCCTACAACCAACGCACATCATAACATCATACGATGCACCGCACTAAGCACACTA